TGCGCTACGCTGCCGGCGTGATCTCTGCCCGTCAGGTCCTCGCAGGACCAGGGCCGGCCGGAGTCGGGGTGCAGCCAGTCACCCCGGGGCTCGGTCGCGATGCAGGGACCGAGTCAGAACTGAGCTCCAGACCTGCATCTCGGCGCCGCCTGGCCTGGGATCCGGGCTTGAGCTCCCCGTGGGCTCGCGTCGCCTGTGCTTCTCCATAATGACAGAGTTTGCAGGTTGGGAACTGTCACACGTGAAAGGCATTGCTTCTTCCAGCTTCTCGCGAGTCCACGGCTGAGCGTGCAGTTCTGCAGCTAGCTCTCCTTCCACACTTTCTGTGTCTCGCCTGCCATTTAGGAATAAGTAAAGCAGTACTGTGAGTCCACTTGGGGCTGTAAAAAGCCAAGGTATTTGGTAGTGTCCTGGTGCAAGTAAGAACTTTATAAGAAATGTAGGTTTAGGACCTGTGGACTGGTGGTGTAGGAAATGGTGCTGGAGAAGAGATTGTCTTGTAAAACCTTCTGTTAATATTTCATTTTATTTGAAGAGGCTCAAAACACTTTATTCTTAAAAGCATTATTTTTTGGAAGCGGTTGCCAGTACTGCAGTTTGAATTACAGAAGTGAAGTAGGTTGCCCACGGTCAAGTTCAGTGCTTTTTGAAATAGAACTTAAATTTCCTAATTTCCTGTCTAAAAGTATATGTCATTACTGAAACGCCAGCAGTTCTGATTTGGAGAAGATTCTACTTGGAAAGTTGATGAACTTGATGTAACTCAGGTTACCAAGCCTTGTTAGGAAAATATCTCATAAGATCACAACACCATACACATAACAGCGTTTTTAGGGCTAACACTCTTTAGGATCTGTGGGATGACACTTTCTTAGGTACCTTTGATCGCAGATGGACCGAAAAGAGAGTGTGGGACAGAACATACATGCCAGGGAATTTCACAAGACATGTTTCCAGCTACTAAAGGTTGAAGTTACAAAGCTAGAAACAGTCTGAGAATAGTCTTTGTGAAAACTGCCTTGGAAACTAGACCAAAAATAGAATTAATTAGGTTGGGATTTACTTTGTTTTAGCATTTGGTATACTTTAAAATCAAGGAAATACCAGCTTGCCCATTTGACTTCCTTAACTAGAGGAGGCTAACAAGCTTTTATTAAGACAAAACGTGTCTGGAAACGATGGATAAAATACCTTTGGGGTTAATTTTATTTTTTTAACATGGTAATGTATTCAAACTGGAAACTCCTGCTTTGGTGTAAACCGGCTCATTAGAATTGTTGTCTGTAGCTCTCTGTGACTGGGTTACCTTGCTGCTTTTTTATTTACAAATGCACTTTTATTTACAAATGTGCTTTTGGTTCTGAGTAACACATACCAGTGGGTTTTGTTTTCTGAGAGTAAATGTTGCCACGTGTAACTTGCTTTGTTACAGTGTCTCAGACAAGGGTAGGTATACTCAGACGGTGCTTAAGTACGGCTGTACTCTCCAGAGTTCATCACAAGGAACCCTTGGCAAGCTTCAAGACATTGAACTCTATCCTCTGTCTTTCTTATCAGGGTGTGTGTTTGAATATGCCTGTATTTCCAGGTCAAGGGCTATTTTAAAATCAGTTTGCATCTTAGAGACTAGTAAATATTTGGTCCATTTAAAATATTTTAATGCCTTTTCTGTTCAATCCCAGTAAGGGCAAAAGTCTTGGGGAATTAATAAAGGAAAAGAAGGAGGAACATTATACCCTGCTATTCGCTACACTCCCGTGCATTGCCATTTTGTGGTCTTTTTATAATGGAGTTATAAACATGATATTCCCATTGTTCGGGACCCATTATTAGGCTGAGGGAAGTCGCTGTGCTTCACAGAATTAGCAAAGGAAACAAGTGCTTCTTACCTCCTGGGGGATGTTCCAGATTGGTCCTTACAGGCAGGGGTGGGACTTAAAAGGATACAAGGAACACCTGCCTCCCCGAGGCACCCACCCCTGTCCCCATGACATCTGTAAGTTAGATTTATTAGACATCTGTACCCAGCTTAATGTCAGCAGAGAGGGCCTGGATGAACTCCTCCTGGAGCATACAGGGAAAATATTAAGGAGGAAGTGAAGGTTGAATTTGGAATTAAATGATGTCCGGGAGTTCAACCAGGTAGGCGAGGGTAGGAGTAGAGTATTCTAGGAGAAGGGTAGAGGAACTGTGTCGTGGTTCGGCATTGAGGCACAGAAACTTGATAAGAGTTTGAAAATCTGGAGCGTAAACTGTGCACGTTTGGGAGGTAGCATCGGAAGCTTGAGAGCCTCGTGAGATTAGGCCTTCATGGTAAGACTGATAAAAGAAGAACCTTCCGGAAGACACACTTTGAGAGACAACATAGGAGTCTTTCAGGAAAGAAGTGAAAGATATTACATAGTTGTGGAGGTTAGAAGTTGATTGTAGGAGAATTGGGTTGGGCATTGTGTGTTATTCTCTAACCAGGAGTTTAGAGCAAACAGATCTAAATGAGGAGACTCCAGCTGGTGGTGGTTCATGCTGTTGGAAGAGCTCAGGGCCAGGGTGCCAGCTTTTTATTAGAATAAAGGAGAGAGAGTTGAAGCCAGAGCTGTGGTGTAGCTGTGGTGCCCTTGTTTAGGGAGGGCCCTTGCTTAGGGAACATCATCAGTGCTGCTTGAGAATACAGGCTGAGACACGAGCACAGAGCTTGGCAAAAGATCTCACTAGAAGCCAGGTTTTAGGTTGAGGAAAGTGAAAGGTGAAATGTCAGTAGGTATTGTCAGGAAGCAGCAGTGAAAGGGAATACAAGAAAGCCAGCAGAAAGGACAGGAAGGTGTCAGTGGAGGGAGGCACGTGTTTGTGTGAAAGAAGTTGGGAGAGTGGAGGAGCCACGCAGGGCAGACAGGTGGGTCTTAGAAAAGCAGATGTGGTGGAGAACACAGGCAGTTGGGTGGCCACAGAAAGACAAGGGCATCTGTGCCTCATTCTGGAGAAGAAAACACGGGAATTTAGGGTGGATGCAGAAACAGTTTGAAAAGCGTAAGAGGGACTCTGAAAGGCCATCCTTTTTCTCGGTAGACACTGCAGGGAGAAGCTATAAGGAGCCGAAACATGTCATTTTTAATAGGGGGCGTGATATGAAATGATCAAGTGGCAACTAACAGAGCCATCAAAGCCAGTGAAATTCATTTACTCCAATTTGTTGTGTGCTGGATTAGCGCACTTAACTCAGCAGGAATAAGTAAGTAACGCTGGTAGAGTGACCCAGAGTTCACAGACTGCTTCTCCTCTGTGTTTATTTGCTCCTCATAATGACTGCGCCGGGCAGTGGCTGAGCAGGAGGCCCTCTGAGAGGTGTAGACCCAGGATGCTGTGGTCAAGGGCAGCCAAGCAAGCAGGCCAGGGTTCGGGTGGTCTGGGAAGTGGGCTCCCTAATGCGGGAGGGACGAGAGGGGTCAGCCTTGGAAGGGGATGCAGACTGGAAGTGGGCAGGGGGTGAGCGCTGCCGCGGCACCAAGGTTTGCCGTGTAGAGGTGTGCAGTTTCTCTCTAATTATGCTAGTATTCAATAAACCTTAAGTTTTCCAATGATTTAGATTTACAGAGTTTACAGAGATAGCAGTGTTCCCCTTTCCCTAAGCCGTTACAAGTTCCATAACCGTAGTGTCTGTGTCAAAATTTAAGAAGTGAACATGGGGACGGTATCATTGATCAGACTACTGACTTTGTTAACATTTTCCCAGCTGTAGGCATTTAGTGCTCCTGGATTCACTGCATTTCATCTGTTTTTATCTAAACCTTACTTTGTTTCTATAATTAATGCCTCCATTTTGGCGCCCTTCATTATGAGCTGTCTTGGTGTCACTCATAAACGTAACATACATTGTTTTCTATATTTACTTCTAGATCTAGGGCAGTGATGGCGAACCTTTTAGACTTTTCAATGATACAAACAGACCACTGCAGCATGCATACCATAGGTTCACCACCACTGATCTAGGCCATTGTAGGCTGATAGTCTCCATTTTTTTTTTTTTTTTTTTTTTTTTTTTTTTTTTTTTTTTTTTTTTTTTTTTTTTGAGACAGGGTCTCACTATGTAGTTGAGACTGACCTGGAACTCACTATGTGGCCCAGGCTGGTCTCGAATTTAAAGCGATTCTCCTGCCTCAGCCTTCTGAGTGCTGGGATTACAGGTGTGCGCCACCACACCTGGCTTCCAATTATCGATCAATCTTTAGTCTGATTTTCCATGATTTATCTTTGATCGCTTGCCATAGTAAGACTGAGGGGACTTTGTCTTCCCTTTTCTGAAGTTTTTGTAGTTGACCTTTTAAAAAACTGACACCACCCCAGATCCTAGAGTATCCCTCTCCACACTGGAGGAGACCTTGTAGGCAGCCCTCAGGTGACAGGGGTCAGCCTATCTGGGATAGATGTGAAGTCCTAGTCTCTTCCTCCCAAGGGTTGATTGTCTGATAGGAATTCCAGGGAGGGTTTTCATGACAATGGGGCTGTCTTGGGAGGATGGACCCCTTTTAAGAAAATTGAGGGAAAGGCCCTGTTACACAGCTGCTGTTCTCATCAGTTTGAAGGAATCAGACTATTGGTGTGGTATATTTGGGGATGACTCCTGCCTAGCATATTTATGTAATAATACTGTAATAATTATTTAATATTGCTGGGGTGTGGTGGCGCATGCCTGTAATCCCAGCACTCCGGAGGCTGAGGCAGGAGCATCGCTGTGAGTTCAAGACCAGCCTCGGCTACTTAGTGAGTTCTAGGTCAGTCTCAACTCCGTAGTGAGACCCTGTCTCAAAAAACAAAATCAAAACAATTATGTAATATGTAATAAATATTGTATGTAATTATGTAATAATACTTTTTGTTAGTGGGTCTGTCCTAATGATTGAGCCCAGGGCCTCAGCCATGCTAGGCAAATGCTCTGTCACTCAGCTACATCCCCAGCCTTAAAAACACATTTTGAATGTTAGCTTTCCATATATCACAGCCCAACTCAGTGACAAGACAGAGCAGAATTTACAGCTTACCTCAGTGTGGGAGAACACTACCTCCTCTTAGGGTGTCTTAGAGTGGGAAAGGAAGGGAGTGATTTAACTGAGAAATGCAAGTTTGGTTTAAGATGTGTCTTCACATGTGGGGGCTTGATTAGCCTTGGGTTGGAATCACAGTGTTACAGTTTGGGATTTGTTTGCAATAGTCAGGCAAACATTTTGAGGAAAGCAGTTCAAAGAATCTTAGGACAGAACCACTCATTGGGGTTTTCTGTTGAAGAGTTAATGTGTTGTTCAGAAGTTCCTTCCTGTTCTTCAGAAAAAGTGATCTCCTTAAAAGAAAAAGAAAAAAGTGACCTCCTCTAAGCAAGTGTTTCCAGGAATAGAAAAGTAATGCTACTAAAGTCAAGTTTGAGTCAGGCTGGCAGCCTTGTGTAAATGAGGGTGGTAATTTCTCACGTTTTATAGTCTGTTTTATATTACACTTGGGTATCTAAAGAACATCCTAATGTTACGATATGCATTTTTTTTTATATCACAGCAATTCTTTTTTTTTTCAGCTTTAATTGAGTTTATTGGTACATTTTAGGGATACAGTACAGTTACATTCATTGTTGGGATCTTGTACCTCTACATGACAAGTCTTGATTCTCCTTTTTCCCCTTACCTCTGCCATCCCTTCACCCCCTCCTCCCCTCCCCATCTACAAACACTTTATTTTCATCTTTTCATTCTCTCACATTTTTTTCTTTTCCCTTTTTACTCTTCCCCTACCCATCCCACCTTCCCTCACCTTTAGCTCCTTTCTTCCCATTTCTAAATGTCAGTAATCTTATTAGAATCTTATGCATTGTTGCAGATTATTTATACCAGGGAAACTATTGGGTATTTCACTTAGGAGTATATCTTCAATATGTATCCATTTTCCTATGAATGAATCTATTTTCTCATTCTTTATGGCTGAGTAATATTCCATTTTATAGAAAAACCACATCTTCTTTATCCAGTTTCCAACGGATGGGCAAATGGGCTGTTTCCAAGATTTAGCTATTACAAACTGTGCTGCTATAAACACGGGTGCACGTACTTCTCTGTGATATGATTCTTTTAGTTCTCTTGGAAAGATACCCAGCAGAGGGATGGCTGGGTCAAATGGAACCTCCAGTCCAAGCTCTTTGAGCTATCTCCATATTGATTTCCATAGTGGTTGCACCAGTCTGCACTCCCACCAACAATGGAAAAGGGTTCCTTTCTCCCCACAACCCTGCCAACATTTGTTATTGTGTGATTTCTTGATAGCAGCCATTCTTTGTGGGGTGAGGTGGAATCTCAGTGTTTTCATCTGCATCTCTCGAATGACCAGTGATGTGGAACATTTTTTCAAATATTTTCTTGCTGCTTTTACTTCTTTGTCTGAGAAATGTCTGTTCATTTCGGATGCCCATTTTTGAATCGGGTCTTTATATTTGTGGGGGCTGATTGTTTTGAGTTCTTTATATATCCTTGATAATAGTCCTTTGTCTGAGGAACAGCTCGTAAAAATTTTTTCCCACATTGTAGATTGTCTCTTAGTTCTGCTGATGGTTTCTTTTTTACTTACTGTTCTCAATCTTGACTTTAAACAATTCATCTTCTTATTTTCAGACAAGCATAGAATGTCATCAACTATATTGAGCTTTACATGCCCACTGCAGTGAACTTTTTAATGCAAGAAGTATTTGTGTATCATAAAAATACTGGGACAAAGAGCAATAATTTAAAGCAGTTGTTTGGAAAATTGTAGAGAAAAATTATACACATAATATAGTATGATTACTCTTTTTATACTTATGTGTGTTTATAAAATAGACATTAACATGCCTTCATGGATGGCATAGCTAAGTACAGGGCTTTGACAGATTGGTTTTGCTTTATTCCTTGTTTGGAGTTATGTATAGTACAGATTTTAATTCAGTACAAGGCAAACAGGTTATGTAGGTGCTTACACATGTTTTTCAAGGTCTGATTTGGTTCTGTGCTTTGGGTCAGTATTGGTGAGGTGCCTGCGGTAAGCATGGCCCTGCTGGATTTGGTCACCTTCTTTTGTGGCTCTTTTTATACTTTGTGTCTCCTTTTTGAGAAAAGGGGCAGCACTGGGATTTGCCCATTGCTCAACCACTAAATAGAATATAGTAATATCTTGGATTGTGGCTTTTATTGCATGCACTTTTGTAAAGTAATTTTTTAGCATAAAATATCCTTTCTTGTAGTACCAATGTGTCTATCTGAACAGCTGTGTAGACAAGGAAAATAGCCGTAGTTTATATTTAAAAAGACTAAAATTGGAAAATCCAATTGCCCTGTTTACTAGTCGCACTGCATTAGAGTTAAGACTCAACTTAAATTTTCTGACTAAAAAATGTGAATTATATAGTTAATTAAAACATTTATTTATCAGCATTTTTCCTGGGGGAGATAGATTTTGGACATATTTAGTCTTTCTAACCTATTAAATGTCAGCATTGAACAAAAAAACTTCTAGATGAAAACCTGTAATTCTATGACTTCAGGCACCTAGGTATAAATCAGACAGATATTTCAGATATTACTTGCTTACTTAATAATTGATTGGGAGAAGAAACTATTTTTTATACCTGTTTACAACAAGACTCATTTATTTGGGAATGTTTCAGAACTTTTAGTGCAAATGACGTCACGTTTTGAAGTAAGTCCGGGAACTAATTTAATGACTGCAGGGAAGTTAATAAATGGTTTCTTCTACCCTTCTAGGTTCTTTGGCTGGATACTAATTAAATTTCCATCCACAGAGTTACAAGAGAAAAAGCAGATTTATATACATCCATATGCACAGGAGTCCCTCATAATGACTTGATGAGGGGCCAGATGACTGCAGCTGGTGTAGAGCCCTAAACTACAAGGAAGGGGCCTCTGGGAGCAGGGATGGTGGAGACCCGTTACCGAGGGGCTGAGTGGGGAAGCTCTGGTGACTGAAGCTTGTCTTGTGGCAGTAATGTCTGTGGAATTAAGTGAGCTGGGAGCCTCCCTTTTCCTGATACACTCAGGTTCCCTCATGGATTGAACGCCTTCATGACAGGAGAGCTTTTCATCTGTGTCTGAGGCTTCACTCGCAGCTCTGGATTTGTCAAAGAAGTGCCTTGTGGGGTGTCATGCCTTGGTCTCCTGAAGTCTTCCTTAGGGGTGGTACGTTTCAGACCCCAAAAGGACCAGCTGGCTGCTGACCATCCCTGGGGTCTGCCCAGTGTAGTTATCCGCCCAAATGTTTATCATTCTCTTGCACAAACAGAGGTCAGTTATTTTTTGTGTCGTTGCCATTGAATATTTGTCTGCTTAAGACTTTGTCAGAACTACCAAGATTTTAATGTTTCTTTTAAATACAAATGGGTAGGCAAAAGATGGGAGAAACACAGTCCCATCTTACATGTGAAACTCAGGGCATTGAGGCAGCTTTTTGCAAACCTAAGGGCCTATGCAGCAGACTTGCATTTCTGCTTCCTGGCCTGATTGCAGTTCCTTTCCGTGCTGGCCTCACGGGCCACCGATTGAAGAGCTTGATGAAAGGCTGCTGAAGCCCATCTCGCCGTCACCCGGCTGGCTCAGGTGAGACAGCACAGCTTGGCAGCTAAGGCTGGGCTCGCTGCCATCTTCCTTTCCCAATTAAGTCATTTTGATATGATGTGGCACCGTGGGACGGCAGAGCGTTAATGAAGCCACCTGGGACTAAATGTTTCCCCTCAATGTACAAAACTCCAGGTCAGGAAAGGAGATTAGACCGGTGACATTTGAGGTTGTGGTTTTTCTTTTCTTTTTCCACCCACCTTCTTTGTTTGCTTATAAATTGTCTCAAGATAGAGGCTTCGAACAACTCTGTGGGACGCTACTCATGCAGAGTTCAGTGTAGGACCGGGGATTTAGCTCAGTGGTTCGCCAACTGCCCTGCGAGCTCAAGGACCCGAGTTCAATCCCTGCTACCAAAAAAAAAAAACAAAAAACAAAAAACAAAAAATTAAAAACAGAATTCAATGTAGACAGTGCCCCCTGCGATTCTGCATCATAGACCTCTTTGTATCAGTTTATAAATCGCATTGATACCCAAGGAACACCTAGGCTTCTACCACCTACTCACCTTGGCAACATCCTCTCACCACTTGAATTTTATAATTACTATTTCTTTCCTTATCTTGACAAATTTACCACATTTCTTTGTATCCTGAAACAGTCTATTGTTTAATTTTTAATTTTTCCCAACTTATACATAAATTATCTTCATATATATCTCTTTGCAAATTTTGTATTGGTCAACCACTTGAAAATAAATTTGTAGCCAAGTGTGGAGGCACATGCCTATAATCACAACACTTGAGAGGCTGAGGAAGGAGGGCTGCTGAGAGTTCAAAGCCAGCCTGAGCTGCATAGTGAATTTAAGACCAGCCTCAACCACACAGTGAGAGCCAAGCTCAAAAAAAACAAAAAAAATTCTTTGCAAATTTTGTATTGGTCAACCACTTGAAAATAAATTTGTAGCCAAGTGTGGAGGCACATGCCTATAATCACAACACTTGAGAGGCTGAGGAAGGAGGGCTGCTGAGAGTTCAAAGCCAGCCTGAGCTGCATAGTGAATTTAAGACCAGCCTCAACCACACAGTGAGAGCCAAGCTCAAAAAAAACAAAAAAAATTTGTAACTGAAAAATAAGCTAATAATTATGAAAATAAGCTTTAGACATTGTAGCTGTTCACTTCTAACAGTAGAGCATGTATCTCTTAAAATATGGATGTCCTCCTACATAGCCACTATACCACTGTCATGTTTTTAAATAGTCATGAGTAGCTGGCACAGTGGCATGCGCCTGCAGTTTCTGCTCCTAGGGTGAGCAGCTGAGTCAGGAGGCTCACTTGTGTCCAGAAGTTAAGACCAGACTGAGCAACATGGTGAGATCTCTCTCTCAAAAAAAAATCATATTCTAACTTTTACGGTTGTCCCGAAAATGTCTGTCACATCCCCCTCCCCCCCAAGATCCCAGCAAGGTTCACATGGTGCTGAAAATATTCAGGAACAGGCTTCATTATTCTTAGTTCACTTTCCTTAGCCCTGAGAAAGGGACACTGCCAGTGGAGAGTGAACATTAATTAGATCTCAGGTGAAGTCAAATTTGTGATCATCATAATAACATTTGAAAAAACCCATCAATTTTCTGGATTTTTCTTTTTTATTTTTTTCATTGAGTTTATTGGTACATTTTAGGTATACAGTACAGTTACATTCATCCCTGGGATCTTGTACCTTTACATGACAGGTCTTGGTTGTCATTTTTTCCCCTTGCCCATGCCCTCCCTTCACCCCCTCCACCCTTCCCTATTTACAAAAACTTCATTTCCATTTTTTCATTTTCTCATATATTTTTCTTTCCCTTATTTCCTTTCCCCTACCCTTGCCACTTCCCCGATACCTTTAGCCCTTTTCTTCCTACTTCACATTGTCAATTATACCATTAGGATCTTGTATTCAATTATAGTTTTTCACACCAGAGAAACTATTCGGTATTTACATGTGTGTGATTTATTTATTGCACTTGAGTATATCCTCAATATGCATCCACTTTCCTATGAATGACTAATTTCTCATTCTTTATGGCTGAGTAGTGTTCCATTTTATAGAAAAAAGAAAACGATAACAAAAAAATAAATCAATCAGAGTTGGTTTTTTGAAAGAATAAATAAAATCAATAAACCCTTAGCTAACCTTGTCAAAAAAAGGAAAGAAAAGGCTCAAGTCCATGCAATTAGGAACAAAAGAGGTGAAGTCACAACAGATCCAACAGAAATCCAGCGGGTCGTCAAACCTACTTTGAGAACTTGTACTCTTGGATTTTTCTGTATTATCCCATGGCTTTTTCCTTTCTTTATTCCTCAGTTAAGATATAAGGCTTATAGAAATAACTACATAAGACATAGTGCCCTTTTAATGTGTAATAGAATGGAGGAAGCTGGGTTGGTGCCTTGGACTGGGAGGTTGGGTTTAAGCAGTGAGGTCTCACTGCTGGATTGCCTCAGTCAGACTTGCCTTGGGCTCATGCCACAGAGGCCCACTCGGCTTCTTTGTGTCTAAGCACCACACAGGCGTGATACTCCGAAGACCGTGCCCTGTGTCAAGTGGTCCAGGAACTCTGTCCTACCGGGCTGCGGAGGAAATTCAAGTTTGGAAGGACAAGGAGGCTTCGTCAGTTATAATTAGTATGTGTAGAGGTTCTGGTCAAGGAGGTGATAAGACTGCCTATAAATATGGCGTTGCTATGTACCTTGACCCGTTGTCACCATCAGTAAGGTCTTGGATTCCCCATCCTGCTCTTCACTCACACATCTGCTCATTCAGTGGAAATAAATCCAGAATGGATTGAATCAGCTCCTTCCTCTTCTTGGAGAGAAAAGAAATCTACGCCTATGTGGAAACAATGAAGAAATGGACAGAAGTTACTGAAATCAAGAGCACAGCCTAAAGTTCTTTTAAGAAAGAACTCTTCACTTTTCAGGTTTTTAAAAGACCACCGTGTCATTTCAAGCCCAGAACTCTGTGACCCTTGCTTGTTTCCTTTTGCTTGATAGCAAATTTTAAAGCTGAACTGAAATACAGGGATCAGTGTGAGTGTTAAAGGACCCACAGTAGGAAAGCTGGCTGTGCCTTTCTGTCTTACTTTGTGGGGTCCAGGCACAGAAGGGGTGGAAAGTACGTGTGATTTAGTATACTATGCCTGGTTGAATCTAAACCACCGCCTGTTTTGATAAGTTTAGAGACTTCAGTAGCTGTCATCTTGAATGGGCTGTATCCTTGGCATCTCGGTCCCCAGGCCTGTGTTCCTATCCTTTCTTGCCCCAGTACTACACAGTACCTGGGCCTCTATTCTTGGACCTGGCCTCAGGAATCATCAAGAGCTATCCGTGATATTCACTGCACTGAGTGCACTTCAGTGCCTGTGTCCGCTCTTATAACAAATGCCACCGACTAGTGGCTTGAGTAACAGGCATTTGTTTTTCACAGTTCCGGGGGCAGAGTGCAAGATGAAGATACTGCCAGTTTGGTTGCTGGTGAGGGTCTCTTCCTGATGTGCAGATGGACACCTTGCTGTGTCCACATGTGATGGAGGGAGAGATCGTCTCTCTTATGCTCTGTAAGGCACCAGTTCACTCACAAGGTCCTCACTTTTAAGACCCAGTCACCTCTCGGAAGGCTCACTTCCCAACACCAGCTCTTCCCAGGGGGGAATAGTGACTCAGCATGTGACCTGCGGTGGGGATAGAAATAGTCTATAGCAAGCACAGTTCGGTAAGTTTTGACAGACATGCTGTATACCTATGCCACATACCTATACCATTGCCACAGTCAAGATAGTGAAAATTACCTTTCATCCGCAAAGGTTTTCTCTCATTCACAATTCCCTCTTCATCCTCAGGGTACTCACCGATCTGCTTTCTGACATATAGACTGAGTTTATGTTTTGTGGAATTTTAT